CCCCCCCCCCTAGATGCTGCGGGACCCCCTCTGCAGCCCGTATCTCTGCGGGAATACACAAGATGGGAGTGTCCCATAGCATGGAAGAACGGTATGGACCGTGCGGACACGACGAACAAGATTTGAGGCCAATGGGAGCTGTGTGGACGGAGGTTCGAGACGATTACTGCTTCCTGACATGCTGCGGAACCCCCTTTCAGCATATCTCTTCAGCCACGTGTCGGGTTTTGCTTCCAAGTAGCATTGTAGAAAGCTTTAGTCCATATCTACACGATGCAATTGGTTTGAGGTCGATTGGAGCTGTGTGGGGGGAGATCTGCCTTGGATAAAGATAAGAAGTTGGAATGTGTTTTTGCACTTCTCAGGTTTGGCCCAAATATAGCGCATAGTTACAGTTTTAGCCAAAACTNCTGAGGTCGATTGGAGCTGTGCGGGGGGAGATCTGCCTTGGATAAAGATAAGAAGTTGGAATGTGTTTTGCACGTCTCAGGTTTGGCCCAAATATAGCGCATAGTTACAGTTTTAGCCAAAACTGAGTTCGCGGGAAAAGTAGTGTTGTGGCCGCAAAACAAGCGGCCATAACGTTTTGCTGTGGTGCAGCATTCCCATCTTCCCTACAACATTCATAGTCTATAGTCTGCTCTCTTTCTTCCCCTCGCTGCGTCCCCGTTGGGAAAGGCTCGAATTGCTTCGACCAGCGACTTCAAGCACGATCTACAAGCCCCCCGGCAGGCCTCTTCACGCCCTGCACATGGTTCTGGAGAGGACAAGGACTTCAGTAGGTCGGCGGCTCCGGTGTCCAAGAGCTGGAAGAACCGTTGGGACGACCGGGATTCGACGGCCAAGTGCGGGACGGACGACCACCACCGCTTCACCCAGTCTTAGCGAGGGCGCGGCGTCGGAGATACCAGGCGCGGGCGAGCCGTGGGGAACCAGCCTACCAGGTCTTCGCCGGCGAGTCGCCATCACCGGAGCAGGAGTCGGAGCGCAGAACGTCAACAGCTACCAATCCTTTGTCTAGGCGTGGGCGCAGCCGGAGCGGAGACCGTCGTGGGAGAAACACGCCTCCGTCTAGGCGTAGCCGTAGCCGGAGCCAGAACCAGAGCGGGGGCAATTGCAGGGCGACAAGCACTGACAGCAGTCGCGGTGGAAAAGGGCGACGGAGATCAGGCCACGGTAACACGCAAGTCATGTATGATCGAGGTGATTTTCGTAGCTCTGGGTTGTTGGGGGAAAACANCGCAAGCCATGTATGATCGAGGTGATTTTCGTAGCTCTGGGTTGTTGGGGGAAAACAAGGATGCTTCAGGAGACGGTTCTCTCTGTTCTTCACCGCTTGTTCTACGCCCTCCCGCTGATGTAGGCCAACCGACCAGGTCTTCATTAGCTTTCAAACTTGCCAACATGCAACTTCGTGAACGTTCAGCCGCTGTGAAAAGCCATGCCCCTGCCCATGCCGTTATGGATTATCCCATATCTTNATTTTCGGGAGCTCAAGTGGGACGCGATGTTCGTGCCGAAACCGCTGTCAGGGCCACGTCAGCATCATCGTCATCAGCCACGAGGTCGGCGACAGTACCGGTCGATGCTTAACAATGACATCAAGTTCTGTATGGAAAAAGATCCCACCCTTTGGGGTCGGTGGAAAAAGCGCATGACCTCGTATAGGCGCCCTACAGGACGCAACCCACACCGAAATTACCCCTTAGGACGCGCCCGCCGCTCATCTGACACATCGGACACGAAACAGTCCTCACACACAGAGCACTCGTCGGACGCTTCCACTTCGACAAAAAAGGGGCTGGAGGGGTAAGAAACGACAAGCCTATGGCGGAGTTCAGCCGGTACTACCGTCAACAGCAACCACCGTGCACCCTTTTGGAGTCTCCCAAGATGTTCGTGTACAGCCTATTTCTTTGGATACTCCCCACGCTCCNCGGTAGTGGACATGACAGACCCATTTCGACAGTACCTTTGTGGTATGGGCGACAGGGAGGTAAGACATCGAGCGGTCCATTCCTGCTCACCTCGTCGTCTACGGTTACAGGAGGAACAAGAATCTCGTCTTCTACTATTCGTCAAGACTCTCCTGGTGTTGTCAGCCGGGCCTCTTCTCGGATCGCACACGAGCCTTCTTCTACACTCGTCGGGAACCCCGTCGATCCTCCTTCTCTTTCGCAGCTTTCGTTGTCTTCGACCGTCCGCTGCCCCCGTGTGACAGCACCTGATACGAATGCGTCTTCCTCTGCTGCCCACCACGTGCTGACTGCACCACTGCCATCGGGATCGGATGGTAGTGCCCACCATTCTGTGGAAGGTTCGGCTCCTTTGTCAAGGGTGAGTAGTCAAAAGCGCCCTGCGTCAATGATCAAACATCCCTCTGTTGCAGGAATGACTTCTCCTAACGAACGGGTCTCGAATAGCCGAATGGCCTCTGCTAACATTGAACCCGCCGGAGCCGCCGCCCTAAGGTCGCCCTCCGGAGCACGGTGCGTTGCGACTTCGCCCGCTCCTGCCTCGCTTTCTGGGTCCTCCCCGTCGGAGAAGAGGACCCGTCCGCCTGGTCCACCCCCGCCTGTGCCTGGTGCCCGCTCTTTGCCCCTTCGCCCTGCACCGGCTCCGCCGTTTGATGACAAGTGCGAGTACGCTTCGGATGACGTCCTTCTTTTCTGGAAACCTCCGTCTGTGTTCTCGCAATGGACTCCTTCGGCTTTTGACGTACTGGGGGTACGTTATTCATGTGGTGAGCAATTAATGATGTCTGAAAAAGCGAAGTTGTTTGGATATTTGACGTCGTATGACAAAATTATGGCTGCAACAGATCCTAAGACACAAAAGTTCTTGGGTCGAAATGTGCGTCCTTTCGACTATGCTGAATGGGAGCGTCGTCGTGAAGAGACCGTGCTTACGGGGTCGTACGCCAAATTTGCTCAAACCATGACATGAAACATCATCTACTGGAGACGGGTACCCGCCTCCTTGCAGAAGCCAGCCCCTTCGATCGTTTTTGGGGTATCGGCATGTCTGCATGCTTTCCAGATGCTAGCGTTTCATCCAAGTGGGCGGCTAGCGGTAAAAACTTGTTGGGAAAAGCTTTGATGGAAGTTCGACGCCTTTTGCGTGATCATCCCCTCTCTGGCGAAGATTTCCCCGCTTCCAATTCTCCCACGCCCCCCATTTCGCAGCCTCCTCTCCATGGATATCGACGCATTCATTGCTACTGCTACAGGTTCTTCGCTACGGAAGGACCCGGGCGAAGACCCAGCTTGTCTACGTTTGGACGCTCCGGGGGACCATGCTCCTGGCGTTCATCTGGTGGCATCGACCTCCGCTTGTGCAGACCAGCCTCCT